CTTTTGATCTAATCTGTTTCTCTCCTGTGGAAGCCGATGGGTCCCTACTGGACTGTTCTAGAGTGGAATCTCTTAACACACTCTCCCCTTGGAGAGAGGCAACAGCACCACAAATCTGACTGCCCCAAGCAACAAAGCACATTTCCACATTTGTTCTGTAAGACAGTGTCTCACGTGAAACCCCCCCTATTGCACAGGGCAATATCTGGCCTTATCTAGGCCAAAGACTGGTTTTCCATCATTTCCATACTAAACACCACTGGTGCTCCCCTTACTCTCCTTGGGACGAGTTTTTAGAGCTCTGAGTAATGTAATGCAACACTGCACAACCCAGAGTGTCCCAGTGGCCTGCTGTAACCACACAAACATCTGCTGAACTGAACCCACCCGGGGCCAGGCCGGAGAGCACAGCTGATTAGCGAGAGCCCCTGGGAATACGGGCACGATTTATGTTTGTCTGAGTCACCAGCCCACGTGCAAAGCACAGTTTTAGCTTTTGTTTCTTTTTTTTAGGTGGAGCAAGAGCATCGTTTGGAAGAGAAGGGTCATGGGAGCTTTATTCTGCCTTCCAAATATTATTTCCATCACCGGTTTATTAATGAATTTTATTTAGTTTTGAAAAATCCACAAACTCCTTGTATTTGGGGGAGGGAAAAAAAAAAGGCAGCACCTGCTAACCAAAAATAAGCATTAAAAAAAGGAACAGAAAACCCTCAGAAATTGCCACAAAGACTCAAGAAGTAGATCCGGGCAGGAAATGGAGATAAGTTGCCATAAACATGGAAACTGTGCAATTGCCAAAGAACTTGACAGTCCTCAGAATCAGGTTTGTTGTTTAGAAGGAAAACATTCAGTTATTTAGGTTTGATTTCCTCTCTGTTTTGTGTTGCAAACCAATGAACCACTATATCTTTTAATGTTAATTTGGCTGGATGGAAGATACATAAATGAGCAAAAATCATTCTTCAAAGCCAAATAAGAGAAAAAGCTTTACTGTTATACAAATTCCAATCATATTCTAAAACATTTCAACCCCCAGAAATCTTAAAGCAGCTGGACAACATTAAAAACTCACATAATTCAAATAGCTTTTCCTTTAAAGTTAAAAAGGTTGTGATTTTTTCTAAAATTCTAACTTCTAATTTCCAGTTGTCTGTTTTGACTTCTTGATGAGACATAATCTGCCTTTTAGTCTGTCTTTGATGAGAGACAATGACCATTTAAAATGCAAAAAATATCAAAGACAACGGGGAGATTTCCCAGGAAGCATTCAGTTATGATTTCTTAGGGTGCACCAATATTAACAGCATGTCTAGATTTTTTTTTCATATACACCAATCATAGACTGGCCCGAACCCACAGCAAACAGTAAAGTCAGGCCAGTTGGAGTCCTGTAACACAGGTGGCTTGGGAAGAGGAAACTCAGGACAGGGATGCTGCAATTGAGGCAAAAGACTGCCTGGAGGCCTGACACGGGAGAATCAGAATGACTTTTGTTTCTTCTTTCTGACTATTGATCTAATAATATGCAAACAGGAGGGGAAAGTGTCTCCTCTGACAAGGAGCACCGAGACAGAGGAAGCAGATTCCAACAAGAACAAAAATGTCTATTCAACAAAATCTGCTGAACACACCAACACTCGTGAAAGAAGTAAAAGGGAGTGGTTCCTAACTGAAGACCAAACTTGTTGGGTATTTAGAACTCCCTGACAGCCCTGCACTGTTAACACTCCATCAGTGGTCACTCCCCCTGTCCCCTTTGCTGAAGGCATCTCATTACAAAGCCTGTTTAATCAGTGGCAGTCCCATCACCCCAGCTGGGGGTGGGTTAGGCTGAATCACCTGATGGAGATTCCCAACCCTCTCCACTGCCTTCCTGGGGAAGGTGGGGTGTCAAAGCAGGCTGTGGGAATGCCCTCCCCAGAGCACATGCATTTTAACTTTACCTATTGCTTTTCAAGGAGCACTAACACAGAGCCAACAAGGACAGAATTCGCTCTCCATCTTTACCATTCAGAAATTTACCTACTTATTGTATATAATCAGGTAAGATTTCAGCCTTCACCACTACTGAAAGTGCAGAATGAATTCCTAGGATGGAGCTATCGTAGAGATATTACAGAAACGATTTTGTGTTACTGGGAAGTGTCAGCTTTATAAATGTTTCCTAAACATTCTGTGATCTCAGGAGACTTTCTGTAGAATATCAGGATCTAAAAGTCATTTCAGCTTTGCCGTAGCATGCACAGGATCCACAAACATTGCAGACACATGACCCACCATCCATCAAACCTGAGTGCCTGGCAAAAGCATGGTTCTCAAAGGAGATTCCAAGTTGAACAAGTATTATCTCAATGCTATGTAGCATGGCCTAAACACACAAAGAGTCCATGAATACTTGGATTTAAACAGCAAATAAATGCTACCTAATCTGTACCTCAGTGTTCATTCATTTCTGAATAAAACTTGCTTCCATATGCAGTAGATGTCCACCAGTGCATTTTAACTTACCTGGTTCCTATGTTTCCTTGGGTGAGCTGCAATACATAATATTTCATATACAATGTATATCACATATGGAATAATTTCCAAAGGCAAAAGCTTTGTTATTATCTATTAAACTAGAAGTTATTTTTACTTTCTTTGAGACCAGGGACCCCTGTTTTGATGTTCCGAGTTAACACTAAACACAAAAACTAACAGTCTTTTCTAGTTAAAAGCTTTGGAAAAAAGAAGTCAATTCAAGTGCATATTCTTTTGCACTTTGATAATACAATAATTACATTTATCAGAAACACATGCTAATTGGATCATTCTGGAGCATTTTTCTCATTGTCTGGTACCACAAAACACATCTGGGTTTTATTTGCCCCATGTAAGTTAATAAAGGTACTGACTTCTTTAAAACAATAAGCAAGATAATCCTAAAAACAATTTTCCAAAGTGAAAAGGGAGGAAAAAACCCTCAACTTTAAGAAAACAACTTTAAGATAGAAGCTGAAGGGTATTTTCTACCTTCTTGGCTATTAGTGAAGAAAATGAAAAGAAAGTTAAAGAAATCTTAATACTGTGACTAGAGACAAGAAACAGCTCAGTCAAATGTATTAATGGCACCTAACAAGGGATGTCTCCCCCACCAACACAGATCCAAATTAGAATGATTTGAAGTGCCAATACATTGGCCCTAGAAGATGTCAAGCTTCTTTTTGTTACTAAATCCCTCACTCAGGAGAACTGGAAACTTTCAAGCTCTCCGTTGGAGCATAGGGGATGTTGACACCTTCCAGATTTTCACTTTACTGGACCAACCCACAGACAGTATGGTGCAGGGAACAGCAGATGGCTTGTCTTCTGTTACCTCTGCTGCCTAAAGATGAAGCTGAGCACCGCTCTCAAACCATGCATACTCAGCTCTCGCTGTAAGGAGAACAAGGCTTATTTATATATTTATATATAGATATATATGTTACAGCCCTTCAGCCCATATTATATTTGTCCCATTCCAGAGCATGTCTATAAATGTTCACATGATTTGAATTTTCCCAGACAAAGGAAAGCAATTTCCTCTGAACTATGGGAAGACACTCGAGTTTTAGTTTCAATGCAAAATAAACGTTGAGCCATTTGATATCATTTTTCCATTCATCCCCTCCCTCTTAAAAATACAAGTGACACAAATCAGGGAAATTGCTGAAAAAAGGAAAGCAGTCTGTTTTTGTTTCACAACTTACCTTACACTGATCTGGGCTTTGGCATAATTAGAACAACGACCACAAAGCTTTTTCAACTGGTGATGCTCTTTTCTCACCTCACCACCAGCAGTATGAACATTCCGTTGGTGCAGAAGTCCAAGGTAAATCCAGCAGGACACAGCATTTCTCCAGGTATTAAGCAATTTTTGTGCTTGCATTTTATACTTTACAGGTGAGGTCACATGAACACAGTCTAATCACATAACTTTCTTACAGGATCATCGACCCCTGTGACAAAAGACTAAATTCACCATGTACTAACAGAAGAAAATTACTCTCTGGGAATCTGACAAGAGAGCAACAAAGTTTTTCCATCATGTAATTGAATACCATACAGTTTTATTTTCCCCAGAGTCTGATGAAAAGATAGAAACAGGCTTTGATTATGCTGTTAACCTCTCAGAGCAATGCTACAGGATAAGTGCATTTTACCCACCTGGTTTTGGACACACATAACGCTCTGCTTCTCTTACAGTTTTATAAAGGCAGAAAAGACATCCTTTGAGAACACAGTTCTCATAAGAGCATAAGTAACAAGTGAAACAGGGTATAAGCAATTTAAATACAAGTCTTGGAAGAAAATAAACAGTACATTGGATTGACTGGAAAACATTTTTTTACCTCCAAACTTATCTGTGCAAGTAAAAGGTATATTGATGAATGTGGGAATGAACAGATAGAAAGGTATATAGACTGCTAAATCAATAGGTGCATGCAAATAAATCACAAAACCAAAAAAACTGATCAATTTTCAAACCAGCTGGGGCCTGATCCGCTTTTCAGGACATAAAACGTAAATCTGGCATAAATACAAGTACAGCTGCATTTCCCAAGAGTGAACATGAGACATGGGGCTCCTAAGCAACAGGTAGAAACCACTGTGTCACGTTCTCTGGACTGTGGTACACAGGAGATGAGGCAAAGAATTGCTACAAGGGGAAATCAAGACCCTGCCATCTCAGATTAGAGAGCTGGCAAGACCATGGTTCATTTTCTTTGCTCTAATTGTGTAAATTAAATACTGTTGGAATTTATGTAGTAATTAATTAGTTCAGGAAAACACTGGCCACCGTGTTGGAAACCCTACTTCCAATGCACTTGTGGAGGAAGAAATAACAAAGGCACGTTAAGCTGTGGGCCAGAGTGGGGTTGGTTGGTTAGTCCCTTTCCCACACACCAAGGCACTTTTGTCTGAGGAGGAAGCTATGCTGTTCAGAGGCACATGTGTGAAAGTTGAGATACACTTACAAAGTAGCCTGTTCCCAAGCTGGAAGGAGCTGAGCTCTGCAACAAAACACAAAGACAAAGTGGAAAGTCAGTGATGGTTTTTAACACGTTCCAATCCACACAGCTCATTACCAGCCCTTTCCAAGCTTTTCATCACTACATCACAGCACCAATGTGCTGCCCCTTGTCATCTGCTACTGAAACAAACACGCTGTTGCTTAATTTTTCCCTTTACATCTCTCAACGACTCTGAGATGGTAACGTGCTATTTACTGAATTCCAAGCTTCTGCGGTGGACGTAATTGCCAATTTATTTGACAGGCAGCTGGGTAATGAATTAATGATGGCATTTCGCCCTGCACTGAGACTAAACAGACACTCATCAACCAGCCTCCCTGACATGCTGACATTCAATGCCCTGGACTCCAGCTACTCAGCTTCGTGGCCACAAAGGGGCAGGCGGGAGGGGGGGAAGGAAAAAAAAAAAGTAGACTGACTTCAAAACAAAAAGCCCGGTGGGTTTGGATGACTTTTTCAGTGTATGACCTGTTTGCCAATTTATTCCCGAAAGGCCCTGGTTAGTACACATATAGTGCTTTTCTAAAATGAGACATTTTGTAAACATAATTAGTAGTCTGAAATGTAAAGAACGCGTGGGCACAGAGAAGCCGCTTCAGTCAATGTGCCGTTTTCTCAGAATGCAGCCACTGCAATTTCCCATTTGGATGTCCACATTGTTTGACAAACCAAGGACTGAGAAAGAAAAGAAAAACCACAAGCAGCAAACATCTACAGTGTGAAATAGATTTCAGAACCCAAACTCATAGAATAAGTGAAACCAATATTATTACCATGGGAAATAATCAAATGGTTTAAATGCTTTAAACAAAAAACCATCATGAAATTCAGTTTAAGTGGGGCATGATCACAACCTCTACATTCACAGGAATTAAGGAGATAAAGGGTTTTGTTTCATTAGTTTTTCATCTAAGCAATGGGGATTACACAGCAGGTTTTCTTAGAGACACGGGGAGAGACTGAAACATCTCAGTCCTAATCCAGGTCACTGCCTGTTCCATTAGAAGGTGGGTGAACAGTTCCCAGCGCTCCTGCCCGGAGAGTCGATGGACAAGGAAGCAAAAAGCAGAGGACCATTCTCTAGTGAGCACTGAGACAACCAGTCTGTAACTCCTGTAGCTCAATTCTCATTTCTGTTCCTCAGCACAGGCTCATTTTCAGTAATGCCACAGCTCAGGGATAACCAGGAACTGCAGAGGGGCCCAACCGGCCTGGGCAAACCCTTGGAAAGACTGAGAATTTGCATCCCTTCATCCCTGTTCTGAGACTCGTCTGCAGGGGACTCCAAAAGCAGATCTGCAGTGCACAGGTCTGGTTATCAGCCTGCAAGGGGAGCTCCACAGAAACAAATAAATTCCAAAGTCCTCCTGTCCCCACTCCTGCTGTTCTGGAGCCTCGAGTTCTCTCTACCACCATCATCCACAGCAAGGCCCACCTGGCCCGGTGGCAATGCCCCTGACAGTGCCTCTGCTCAAGAATGGGCACTGCAGATCTGGGAACAAGTGGCCATGAGGCCCCAGGGCTCAGCACAGCTGCTCTGCTTTCCTCAGTGTTGCTGTGACCATTCTCTGTGCTGGGAATAACCTGGTCACCACCACAGCCCCGGTCATTGCCCAGCCTGGCCACTGTTCCCAGATGGGGAGTGCCCTCCATGGGCCACAGGCCCTGGATTTGGGAGCCTGTGGCCCCCAGGCTGCAGCTCTGCAGCCCCTGGCAGTGAGTGCAGTGCAGCACACTCCAGTATCAAACACATCCACGTTCCTGGCAAAGCACACCACAAAGCCTGCCTTCCCCCTCACTCATCCCACTTTCTGCTTCATGCCATTTACATTCTTTTAATTTAAGCTGAAGAGATCTGCCCACAAGTACAACACGTGCAATCATTATAACCACTTTTGTTTCAGCTATGTACAGATGCCAAGTGAGTCCCACTCTTTCACTAACAATTTTTAAAACTTACTTTACTGGCTGAAAGCTCCAAAGTTTGCCTTCTGCATCTGTGTGTAATTTTTGTCTGCTTTCTATTCCAAGTTTTGGAAGGATCAAGTATCAAAACAAAACAATAAAATGGAAGAAAAAAAGAATAAGCAAACAAAATATTTCCCACTGAATATTTTCATTCCTTCAAAAGCAATGTTGCAATGGCTATGGGAGGACAGTCGAAACATAGCAGTCAAATGACTTTCACTGAACAACTGTGCATTTCCAGGGAATTTGAGTTTGCCGGATGGAAATATAGCCCTTCACACATTGCATGCTGCATATGGAGAGTACAGTTTGCAAACTCTTTTTAATTGAAGTACAAAAGACTGTGTTGCACATGCATGGATGACTACGTCAGCTGTGTGTGAACTGTGTGTTGACGGAGCACAAAGGCTGAAGCGAGGGCTATGCAAGAGACAACTTCTCACCTTCTGGATAACTCCCAATAGCGACAGGATCCCACTACCCAGTGCCCAGCCCGGGTACCAACTGCACAAGCATCTTTACAAGCCCATGCTGAGTCGTGATCCTGCACTGGATGGTTCTACATCTCTTATATAAAGTGTGCCTATAATAGAGGTAATGGTTTCACTTTCCGAAACCCTTTGCAAAATAGGACATTAGATATACTACTTGATATTCACACAACCACCAGCAGAAGCCTGCATTAGGTGCCCATCAGCAAAACACACTTGCTTAAAATTAACATGGTTTTGGTTTTGTTATTTTCATTCTGGGTTTGTTTTTGTTGGGTTTTTTTGTTTTGTTTTGGTTTTTGTTTTGTTTCCTTCCTTTCTTAAAGAGAAGAACTTTGGCCCAGAAGCAAAAATGTAGTAACCCTCATGTAAGCATTAGTTTATTGTGTACCAAAGAAAATTACATCCTTGAGGTCTTGGAAGGCACAGTTATACCCATTTTGCATATATATTGTGCATTACTTGGGGAGCTGGGTGGGGAGAAAGACTGTGTTGTACATATTTGTTCTGGCTATTGTTTATGCAGGTCTGACTGAATGAAGGAACAGTGGGTATCATTTCAATTTCTGATGTCAACATCAAATTACTTATTTAATTTCATGCCTGGCGAAGCATTGTATAGCTACACGCAGAATCATTTCACTTCATTTGTTATGCTGTGTTTTCTTGGCGATTGGCTTGCCTTCCAACTGACAGCTTTAATTACGACATGAATTTGATTGCACTGCCGAGGAATTAACATAATGCAACAAAGCATTTAAGCACCCAACCTTAGACACACAAACACACACATACACCCCCTCGCAAACACACACACACAAAGCAGCAGCCACTGCAGCTGATCAGCTCCTGGCACACGCACACAAACACACACAGAGCTCTGCCTGTGTGATCCCACTTCGGATACAGCCAAGATTGCTGGTGACATTCTGGAGAAGGAACAGCACTGAGGATTTCAGAGCACATAACCCAAAGACTGTCCCTCAGTTTGTCTTTCTCTGGGCTCTGTACAGGTGGGAGGAATGGGAGACAAGAGAATTGGAAATATCCCATATTTGAGCCTGAAACCGTGAGCTGCCCACGGGATTAACCTGCTGGGGGTGTAGACACGTTTCTTCACGAAGCAAAGAGCAACAGACCTGGTGGGCAGGGGACTTCAGGACTTCACCCTCAGTGATAGCTCACTGTGACCTACTCTCAAAGCCCACAAGGCAGTAGGAGCACACAAAGCACTGGGAAAAGGGAAGCACTCATGAAGAGTGCATCAGCTTGGATGAGAGCCCAGGATGAGACCTTTCATGTAGGGGACAAATGGAAAGATTCCTGTCCCACTCCCTGTTCAGGAATTGGAAAAACATTCCAGACAGAAAGGTGCCAACTGTTTCTTCTGGTTTGTGATTCCTTGTTCAGCAAAGCAAGCAGAGTCCAGGCGCTCCAGGCTTCTGCTGTGCAGCAAGAGTGGATGATGTGCTGCCTCCCAGCCCATGGCCACATGTGAGAGGCTTCTGCTACTCATCCCCTCACTGAAACCCTGTAGTCAACACCAGAAGCAGCAGGCAGGGTGAGATCAGATAGATCAGGGATTTAGGAATGTGCACCAAAGGAATCAGGTGTTTTGATTTTTTGATCAGCAAAGAGGTGGCTGAACCCCTGAATACTCAGTGCATTCGCCATCCAGGTTAGATGTAATTCTCATGTTTTCCTCAAATAGATCTCCTGGCTGTTTTGTGAAACATGACTAAAAAGTATTCCAAAGAGGGAAGACTCAATTAAAACTAAATACGTACAGAAAGATAAGGAAAACAAGTTGACTGAGCTCCAAGCTGAGCAAAAGAGAAAGCACTGCCATCTTGTCTCCAAGTAAGATCTCAACAAAATGAATTCTACTACTGGAAAGATTTGGATGAGATTAAACTGACTACAGCACCCTATATATAAAGGAGGAGCAGCTCTCCAATTTCTCTTTTAGGCCCCTGGAGCTACCTCCGTCCATAAAAGAAAAAACAAGTTGTCATTCCAAAAAAACCCCAACCTATAAAGGGGAGAAAGGCAGAGAGCCATGGGTTTATGAAATTCAAACGGGGAGCTGCATCAGGGCACTGCCACGTGCCTGCACTGGAGCATTCGAGCAATCATTATCCCTAATCTAGCAGAGGTCAAATTCTCTGCTAATTATGTTCTCTCACAGAGGGGTGTGTGCCTGTGCACACACGTGCAAGAGGAGGACAAAGAAAGGAGTTGATGGAAATCAGTCTCACTGCATTGCATCTGACAAGAACAGAGGATATTCCTCTTCCTACTGTCTGATGCTATCTCAAGCTTCATTAGGAGAAAAGTCTCCTGTTTAACATGGTCTTTTCACTGAATTATCTTCTTTTCATTTCTGCCCACCTCTCACAATTGCTGCAAATTACCGGCTTGGATCTCATTAGCCTGGAAAGGAGTCACTCCTTGTAAACACACTCTGTGTTATCCAAGGACTGCAGGTACAGCTATAACAGGCAGAGTTGAAAGATACCTGACAGGAGAGAGGATGAAGGCACTGAGGTGTCCGTTTGCAACTGCATATTCATTATCCCATCTCCCTCATCCTGCATCTGTCACTGAACCATCACTTAGGCCCCACATCAAGGCCCATGAAGCTCCAGCACTGCTGTTCACCAGCCTGCTTACAACAGATGATCAGGAAATGATCATCTACCTGCAGTATGTGTGCTTCATTCATTATCCACATTTCCATACAGGAGCTAAATCTTACAATGCTGTCAGGCTACATTAGCGGAGGTTCGTTATATTTCATGGCCAAAATTTGCTTTCTGACCTCAGGGTTACTCTGCCTGCCATGTCTTATATTTTTGTTCTATCTTCTGTTGGGTGTACAACTTTTTGTGTATTTTTTTCTGAGAAAATAGTTGTGAAAACAGAAACGAATCTTCAGAGAAAGCTTACTCTGTTGTCTGACACGTTTTCTGGACAGTAACTGGTGGGTATCATTAGACAACTGACTTCTTCAAAAGATATTATTTAAAATAACCTTGTTAAGCTCTTGAAGCATCTTTGTGTTCAAGATCAAGTTCAGGGCAGGCTCCCCCACATGTGAAAGTGGAAGTATCACTGGCACTTTGTAAGGCCCTGTCGTTTCAACACACGGGGCGTTTGGCTTTGGGAGAGGATGGGATGTGCTGCTCTGAACTGAAGGAGTCTGGGAAAGGCCACCACAGGCCCAGGTAAGATGAAAACTATCTCATGCATCTTTTTCAAATCTCAGCTGAACTGGTAACACCAGACCAGAGACACATGCTTGTATTGGGATGAATTATCAAAGCATAAAGGAAATTTCCTTATTAAGCAGAATATAAATTATGTATAACATTTTCAAATGTACATCTTCACATATATTTACATAACGTTCCTTTTGAGCAACCTGTGAATCCCTCTGTCCTCTCTCAGATGCACTGGGGAAGTTGTATTTGCTCTCTACTTCCTTTCAATTTGCCACAGTGCCAAGACAAAGGAAAAGTATTGTAAAAACATCAGAGAAAAAGTGGATTTGGTGGGTGGAGGGGGAAGCAGGACTCTGCTCTCACTGCCAGGTCTGGCACTGCAGTGCTGTGAGCTGCTGGGAAGCTCAATAAGGCTCAGAGCTCTCCACTCAGTACATTGCTAGGGAGCAACAAGGCTAAATTAAAACCATGTGTGTAAGGAGCTGTGAAAATTTTTTGCTGGAAGGTGCTGTGTAATTGTGGAGTTCATTGCAGTGACTTCTCAGCTGCCACAGGGCTCAGAGGCACAGGATGGCAATGGTGACAGGCTGCCATCCACTGCTACCTGTACAGAACATTTACTCACTATCTCCTCTGGTTTCAATCTGCTCTTCCAAGGAGCCCCCAGAGTGACCTCACCTGACAGCTATGAAGGGCAGGCTCTGAAGAGTTTAGCTGACTGTACCCATAAAGGTTGGCTCTGGGGAAGAAATGGACCTCTACAATAAGGTGACAAAGGGATGTGGAAAGAAAGTGCTACAGATTTCACACTTTCACAGAAAAAGAAAAAATCAGGCATCTGTTCCAGTGATATGCACAATTCAGCAAAAATTGCTAGCTGTGTGCCTCGAGGCTTAAATTTGCACAATGAAATGTATCCTTTACAAAGGTATTTTTTTTAATGCCTGCTCAGTTCAGTTTTATTGGATTGGCCTATAGAGGACACCATCTGGTATCTGTCATCCAAATCTACATGGACATGCTATCGATAAAATCCCCATTTCCAAAATGTGGGTTAGTTGAAAGTAGGGCCAGATTGCTGGCTGATACAAATTGGGCTGACTAATGTAGCCATCCATGCTTTTACCAGCCAAGGATCTGACCTACAAAATCCCCAATTTAGATACTCTTTGGGGACAGGGCTGCCTTTATATTCTGTGTTGTAAAGCATGTAGCAGCACAGAGGACACAGAACTATGAATAAAACACTCAAGGATTGTGATGGTACACATAATAAATAATAATAATCTGATTGCAGCAACAGAGAGATTTCTGTAGTCATTCCTCTGTCAGAATAACTCGTGTGTGTCACCCCGTGAATGACCAGCATTCTCTAGTGGAGAAAAACACTCTCCACAGAGCTGCCATCTCAGGCCCTTCCACAGCAGTTTAGGTAGAGCAATAAAGGCAGAGCTTATGCTATTGTTGGCCATGTTATATCAATTCATTATATATAAGTTAGCTGAGTCTCTCTAGACACTCTAATACTTTTCATAAAGACAGTATTTAGCCCAAAGAAATACATTCTTTTCCTTCCCCACTTGGGGTAAAAAGAGGCCACCTCACTTCTCAACTATGCAGAACATTTTTACTTCATTAAATGGCCTTCAAATGTTTCAAAAGTAATGAGTATTTGCACACAGAAAGACATTGTATCAAACTTTAAGAAGTTTTCTGAACTGGGGCAGGAGATTGTTACCTCTTCCTCTCCAGAAACCCCAAAAGAAGGAGATTTTAGCAACAAACCATCCCAGAAACTAAATCGCGTTATGACTGACAGCCCTCAGAAAAGCCCAGCAGGGTTCCCCAGAGCAGTGTTCAGCTGGAGGAGTCGTACTCACGTCACTGAGTCTTTCCCGGGAGCTGCTCTGATGGAAACCCTTGGACTCCCCGCTCGCGCTCTCGCTGTCGCTGCCCCGGCAGCTGTTCTGACCCGGCTTGAGCTGCAGGAGAGAGAAAAAACAAAGAGAGGCAGAGTTTAGCCTGGTCCAGGCAAGTGCCCTTGTCCACTGCTCTTCTTTAACCCAGCCCCAGGTGCACACAAAGCAGCGTTTATGTGGTGCTTTCAGCACTGTCACCGTGTGACCTTGTCAAAGGGCAGGACCTCAGTGAGACCACGAACGCAGAATCTCGTGCACCACAGAGAGGGTGTGAGGTCCAGGGGCTGCAGGCAGGAAGGGGCAACACTCATGTCCCAAGGAAATCACAGTTTAAGACCTTCATTTGGGAAGCTTTTAGACTTCTCAAAGTATTTCTGCCATAGATGAAGTTGTTAAAGTTACCGTCACATTGCAGCATGCACAGAGTCAAACCCTCCCTCATTACAGCACAGTGTAATGTGGATTCTGAGATCCATGGAAGTTTCCCCAGGGGAAGAAGAAGTCATCACTCCAGAGAAGCCTTTTTTGGCTGGACTAGCCCCTTACCACGTTCCTTGGTACTATAAACAATTCTTGACTAACCTCAATGTTCATAAAACAACATGATCTACTTAATAGGTATCAAATTGCTTTTGCCTTTCAAGCCAGCTTTAATGAACTTTACTGGCATTGCAATAAATAAGAAGTACAAAAAAACCCTTACAAACTGTATTTTCATTACAATTGAGAACACATCTGCTTTCTCTTATGCTGTGGACTGTGCAGGTCAACACGTTACACAGCAGTGCACTGAGAAAAGCATTTACCATATACATTCATTACACATGTCCACGAGCACATACACACATATACAGCAAGGGTATATATATATATATATACACATATATCACCCACATCCACTTCAATGCTGAAAATGCATGTATCTGTTTTAATGTATCCTTCCACATATTTTGCTAGAACATATTAAAATTTTCATCAAGCCTTGTTGATGCTCCATTTGAACTAACCTCCTGTGAAGACTGGTTACTCCAGAGGTCAATTCTGGTAAGAAGTCCCTTTCAGAAATTTAGATCTAAAATCACATACATAAATACTGGCAGCAGAGGTAAATGCAGACAAAATACTCGGCAAGGTATCTAATGAGGTATTTTATGAGACACCTACTACACTCAGCAATATCCATATAACAAACACCAACCAACTCCTCCTAAGTTATTCTAATTACTCATATGATCATAGTAAGTTCTATTCAGACTGTACAGGAGTAGACATTCATTCATCTCCATTCCATGACTGGAGACCAAAGGTTCCTTCTCCATGATCACTCTCCATCACCTTTCCCCCCCCTCTTTCTTCTCTCATTCCTATTTCCACACACAAAAATTCACACAGATGCTCTTTTAATGGTGCATGCAAGCAAAACACACTTGTGCTGATGCACATTCCCACTGTACACCGTGCTCACCCACAGCCACTGCTGTTCTGCCCCAGGTTCACTGAAGGACCACACAAAGTATCCTCACCCTTTATCAATCAGCATTTTCTCACTACCAGAGCAAACTGTATCTGCAATTTTGGGGAGTGTGTGACACTTCTCCTTCATCCCTTATTCCCCTCACTCTATAAGGCACCTTTGGGTGCTCTCTATCAGTCAAATCAAAGAAAAGACATAAAGCATATGAAACTAAAGGTTCCAACACACAGTTGAGTTGCAATGCATGAACACAACTGCAAAAAATGGCACAGGCCTACTCTCAGCTCAAAGAAAATGTAACAGAAGAACTAGAGCTATTTGTCAGACACTTACAATTTAATAAATAAACTAAATATTCCACAGCTCAGCCAGAACATTTTCCAGTAAAATTATTTTTATTTCAAATTGAATGGTTTATCAGTCAGATCTAACAGATCTCAGTAGCATTTTTTGGAGGCAGAGGGGAGGATAACGAATTCAAGAAGTCTTACACTTCATATATAACTCACTGATCTTATCTAGGACCTCTGTGTCCTGTAATTTTATGGTCTCAAGTTTACAATTTAACCAACCAGAGGAAAATGGATCAAGTTTCCTTGACTTGGTCTTTTGTCAACATCTGCTCAATGATGGAAAAACTCTTATTGCAACTGGGGCAGTAGGAACTTTTTTTCTAGTCTCAGATTTTATTTTTAGAACTTCAACTTATTTTGTACACAGTTTTTACACATTAGTTATTTGCTAACTAATCATAACAGCTCAGTTCTATACTTCTTCTACACCATTAATTCCAGCTAGTTACAAAGAAGAGAAGAAAAACCCAGCAGGTGTCATTTTTCTAGACACAATTTACACTGAGTAAGAGAATATGACCAAGATATCTGAGCCTTAAATTCTGCAGGAACAAAGTGAACTGCATAGACCAGACAGCAAACTTGGAAATCAGTCCAAGATTTATAAGCTTCCCATATTTTCCTCTCTTTTTTCCAAGTTGAGTTTCCCCATGTGCCAAACTGTTGAGGGTTTACATTTTATTCCAAAACCCATCAATCTGTGTTAAATTAAAAAAATAAAGCATGGAAATGTGCCCGTTGTGTTCTTTTAAGAACCTAAAGTTACGCGCAGGCGCACATGAGAACACTTAACTTGGACAGGCAACGGGTCATTTCCATCTATTCACACAGATTCAACTGCATAAAACAACACTGAAATAACACAGTGCTGCTAAAAAAGTCCACAGATAAAAGGCTGGATCTTTAGTTACACTGCATGAGTCTGGTGCATCACTGTGGGGTGCACAGGAGCCCTAAAATCAGTTTCTCCTCAAAAATGGAACTGTTCTTGAAAGAAATTTGAAGTGCAACGTTGACAGCCCTTGTTCCTGTGTCATTCCTGGCAGGGTATCCCAAGCAAAAGGCAAAGACAGCACAGAATTCCCATGGTGTCCACTCAAGGTACCCAAGGAATGGCAATAGGACCCCAGGGAATGGTTGGAGCTGTGTCAGGGCAGGGTCCGGTTGGATATTAGGAAAAAGTTCTTCCCCCAGAGGGTGGTTGGGCCCTGCCCAGGCTCCCCAGGGCAGTGGGCACAGCCCCAAGGCTGCCAGAGCTCAGGAGGGTTTGGACAACACTCTCAGGGACAGGGTGGGATTGTTGGGGTGTCTGTGCAGGGCCAGGGGTTGGACTGGATGATCTTTGTGGGTCCTTTCCAGCTCAGGACATTCTGTGATTCTATGAAGGTCTCACTGAGGAACTTCCCACTGTACCACGTACAGTGGGAATGAATTTATCCATGTAGGGATCCACCTAAAGGGTATCACAAAGAGGAAATACCAATATTTTTTAAACTGAAAGCACAAACCCCTAAAAACTCAAACTGTCTCAGATTCACAAGGAACATGCACAGCCTCAGGGACTCCCCGAGTGACAGAGATGGGGTACATGTAAAAAAAAGTGACAATCAGGACCTCAAGAGCACTTGCCCAGGCTGGACAGTGCAGGGCTGGACCCTGGGGCACATGCACAGCTCCAAAACTTTCCCAGGAGTTTCTGGTCATTCCTTGCATTTTTTGAAATCTTTTATTGTACTACAGAACCTATTAGTTTGTAGTGCCATTAAATCTATCGGAGGATTCCAGAAGTCAAGCAGAAACGGATAAAGTCATAACTACACTTCTATTACAAGAAAGGAAAAGGAAAAAAAAATCAGCTGCTGGCTGAGGGCTGGGCTGGGTCTCAGCAGAGGATTTTATTTCTGATTCTTCATCACAGCCACCCCAAACAGTGAGAGGAACAACAGCTCTTCCCTGCTCCCCAAAACTGGACTATTTAGAGGTTTTCTATATCAAGGGCATTTTCCCAGTTGGTGATGATGGAGTCCCTCCCACACTATGGGGGACTGGATGATCCCCTCACCATTCTGGGGCACTGCAGCAGCAAGGATGGCTTCTAATGGTGATGTGGCTCTGCTGCTAAGGTGAATTAAAGGAAAAAAGCCCTAAACCCCCCTGCCCATCCCCCTGGGTTTTCATTCCTCCCTTTTGTCCAGACACAGGTCATATGGAGCCGCTGTGAGGGGCCCCCTCAGCCCACACAGGTCTGAGAGCCCACCCCCCTCAGCGCCGCGGCCGTGCCTTGGGGACACTGAACCGAGAGGCAAAGGTGCCACAACAGCGAGGGGTGTGGGGAAAGGTGACAGTGGGTGTGGGGAAAAGTGACAGTGGGTGTGGGGAAAGGTGACAGTGGGTGTGGGGAAAGGTGACAGTGGGCCCCGGGAGGGAGGAGGTGCCGTGGGGCTGGATCCCCACAGCCCACAGGGAGTCCTCAGGGCAGCGGGGCGTGTTCATTCCCTGCAGGAACTGTGTCCCCTGGGAAGCTCAAGCATTTTCCTCGAGGATTTGTCACTCATGGGACTGGCAGAGAGGA